AACTCAATTGTAAAGCGCTGAGCAAACTGTTGGCGCTATATAAATCCTGTATAATAATAATAACTGCCTGTAAACGACTATGTGTACATGGAAACATTAAGGAGAGTTCAGGAGCTTAAAAAAAAAAATGCAGAAAAGCTCCTGAATGTGCGTTTATCAGCTGCAGTGCACATGAGACCTTAAATCGCAATATATTTAGAACCATTAAAATGTTACTAAAATGGCATAATTAGAGAATATGGTGAATAATTGCATCACTCCAATCCCTATAGGGATACTATAAGTTGGTTTTAATCATTTTTTTTGTGGTAGTCTGGGGCATGTGCTGTAATTGTTTGGTGTCTATTTATTCGTAATAAAGCATTATTGATAATGTATCAATTTACATAATTTGATCATTACAGAACGAACAAATAACCTATCCATAGCTGCGTTAATATCAATCTGAGCTTTAACCTCCTGCAACAGTGAGGTCTCCTTCTGCGTGTGGCATTCCAAGCCTGTTTCTTGTCCATAAACAACGCCAACTCACGTATTGTCAGTTACCAGCGGTCCCTGTAGCAGAGCAAAGATTTAAGTTGCCACTAGAGAGGTAAGTGTTACTTAAATGCTTTTGCAGGATTGTTGTGATTTTATTTCTTTGGACTAGAAACAGGGTAATTTTACCCGAATGCAGTCAGCCAATAGTGGCCCAGACATTGTCCCTATGAAGTGAGACTACTGAATGCTGGCTCAGCTGGAAGAATACCCATAAAGTGGACCTAGCACCAGTTTTAATTTTCTATATTAACTACATGCATGCTAAGTAATGTGTGAATGAAAATCTGGCCATGGTACAGTGTTGTTCATTCATCCAGCCAGCTGATGCCCCATTCCCACTTTCAAGATGGATGGGGGAATTCTCTGTGCTGTGCTATTGTATTCTGGTGGCTGGACTCCCCAACCATCAGAATACACAGATCAGCTTTGCAGACCATTGGCTGCATGCACTGATCGAGTGTAAATTTTCCAGTAGGACAGTTCATGATCAACTTCTCATGAATGAAAATGGCCATACATGGATCAAAATTTGGCCAGTTCCTGCTGAACTGGGCACATTTTGACCTATGTATGGCCAGTTTAACATTTCTAGGTATTTGTTACCCCTTAGAGAGGTCACAGTACTCCCCCCAACAATGCCTTCATTTGCTTTTCCTTCCAAAAGGACAAAATCATCTTTGTTCAAGGACTATCAAGGGACATACTGTATTCTTAGACTGAGATGCAGGCTTGGAAATGACACAATCATAAAAATCTGGGTGCCTGCACAGTTCCTAGCTGTGTTCACAAATGTCTGACACATATTAGCTACTGCTGTAGTTTCTCAGCTTGTGATAAACTAGAAAATTACAGTGCACTATGATTCATGGGGGGAGAGTAGACCTATGCGTGCCAAACACAGCTTACATTTTGGCTGATTCTTGCTCATTTGGCTGAAAATTGAGCTGCTTTTGACCCTGTCGACAACACCTGGCTCAAAATACTTTGATCTGACAAATGAAGGAGCAGGGCAGAAAATGTTCAGAAAAACAGTGACTACAGCCAATCAAATGCGGTCGCTGTTCGGGGTAATGCAAAAAATGCTGCCAAGGGAGATTCTTCCATGCAGGCTGTTTAGCTGCATGGGGGAAAATATTGATTTCTCTCTAATTACATCATCTCAGCCTAGACAAAGTCTCCAAACTGGATCTCAAGGACTGCTAATGGTAAAAGATGAAGCTTCTTTGAAATATTGTACTGTTGGATATTGTGACAGGTCAGGCATGTATCATAACTAAATCAAAAACTGCCGAACTACCACAAAAAATTTGGAGGCAAAAAAAAAAAAACAAAAACAAAATTGATTGCAGCAGCTGCTGTCTTGTGTTTCCACACCAAAGACATATATAAAGTAAAAAAAAGTAAAATTGGAGTAAAAAAAATAAAAATAAGGGGCTATGAATTGCCAGTTCTGCTATTTAGCATGTCACAAATGCAAACTACAGAGGTGGAAGCTTACACGGCATGTCCTCCACTGATTGCTCTTGATGATGAACACATGCATCAAATTTTATGAAGCAGTACTGGAAAAGTTCATCTAGCGCCAAGTGCAAGGATGCAGAACTGCACCCCTTCCCCCCCTTTTAATGCATGCCATAGAATGGGTTTACTGTCCTGTGTTCATTCTCTGCCCCACTGTTCTGTTGTTCCCAGGGCAGCTGCCCCTCCTGCCAATTCCTTGTCCTGTCCCTGATAATAGATATCTGGTTCATAACTTACTAGGGTCGTGGTTCGAATCTCAACCCCAGCACCACCTGCCTGGAGTTTGCATGTTCTCCCAGTGACTGTGTGGGTTTCCTCTGGGTACTCTGGTTTCCTCCCACACTCCAAAGACATGCTGGTAGGTTAATTGGCTCCTGTCTATATTGTCCATAGTATGTGCATGTATGAATGTGAGATAGGGACCTTAGATTGTACACCCTTGAGGGTTAGGGACTGATGTGAATTTACAATATATGTAAATTGATGGCGCTATATAAGTACCTGAAATAAATAAATAACCTTAGTTCATTTTTTTTTATCAACGTAAAAGGTTAAAACACATTTTTTGTTTTATGCAGAAATCTAGAAACTATAGAATTAGACAACGTTTCTTTCAATATTGTTTCCAACCATGGTAGATAAAGCTACCTCCCTATGCTATCCAAAGTGTGGGGACAGCATAAGGAGCTTTATGAAAAACACGGGGGTCATTTGTATGCCCCAGCAACTTGTTGGGACCTAGACTTTCCACTGAAAATCAGTCTAATGTGTGTGTGATAGCACTGGACCTATAGAAGCAAGGCTTGGTTCTGATGGATATACAGTGGAGTGAGTCTTCCCTAGAAAGACCTAATAAGCAATGAAGGTGCAGTGTAGATCAGAGGTGCTCAGCCTTTTGAAGAGTGAGGGCCACTTAAGTGATTTGGTAACCGGTCGCAATTTTGAATAGCATAATGAACATTTTCCTCCTGCAACTGCTTAATTCTAGCGGAAGGAAGAGGAGGAGAAGTCAGATTTCACTGGTTGCAGAAGGAAAATGAAGAGAGGATCGGTTTCTGTATTTGCCACCTTTCCTGTCAAAGAATGTGCACAGGCCCCCTGGAGCATGGGGTTGGATTGCTATTGTGACCCCTGACACTATACCAGTGGTTGGGGGGTGGATGTGGTAAAAACACATCTGAACTATGAGATTTTTTACCACCCCGCAAACCGCAAATGTAAATGAGCCCTTACTGTCTTGGGCCCCCTATAAGGCTGCTTTCACACTGATGCGCTGCAGTTTACCCACACCATGGATGCAGCTCAGTGTATCTGCGGACCTGCGGACTAGCTGTGCTTTGTATTAGACTTCTATTAAATCTTGTGGCTGCATTCAGGAGTTTTGGTACTCTTTCAAAACGCACCAAAACCGCAGGATATAATAAAAGTCTATGACTCAGTGCAGCTAAGCCGCAGGAAAGCTGCAGGAGCACAGCGCTGCAGCCACAGATCAGTGTGAAAGCAGCCTAATAGTTGTTAACTCTTTTATAGGTGCTAATATGCCCATTGAAAAAAACACAGTGTATGTGTTGTTTATTACACTGACCTTCTTTTCTTCTTCCAGCTTCTGCTGGCATCACTCTCCAGGCAGATAGAAATGTCCCAGGCCAAGTATGCTTGGTGTCACTCCACCTGGGAAAGGAAGCAGTGCTACAGAGGAAGCATCAGCTTATGCGGATCCTGCTCCCTCTGCGGCCACCTGCTTCCTCTGCTTCCAGCGCCAGCTCAATGCACTCTGATACTCTGGGATGGCGGGTTGGCAATGCTTGGTTGAGATCAACTGGTTGCAGACCCCAGGCATGCTCTTCCCTGGTTTGAGGTTGCGGGCCACATCAGAGGGCTCCAAGGGCCACAGATTCACCACCCCTGGTGTAGATATACTTTGTTCTGGTCGAAGATTGTTACTTCTCTGATAGTGACAAAAAGAATGCTAAGCAGATGACAAACTCTGGGGTACTGAAGGGGGTCCGGTACAAAAGTTCATATCACTCAGAGGTCTTTTTCAAATGTTTATTGGTTCAAAGCATCAAGTAAATCCAACTTGTTTTTGGGGAAAGGCCTCTACCTTCCTCAGGACTGGAACAGTACATATAATTATCATGATGAGATGCAATAGGAGACTTATATCAAGGATTAATAAAGACTATCAAATCTTATGGGCATTACAGACTGCCAACAGTTAATTGTGATTCTAATTACATCTACTGCTCCAGCTCTGAGGAAGGGAAAGGCCTTTCCCCCGAAACACATTGGATTTACTCAATGCTCCTAAGTCCTAACCCATAATCTTTTGAAATAGACCTCTGAGTAATATGAACTTTTGTACTGGGTGCTCCTCAACACTCAACCACAGAAAATATGCAATAATGTAGATCTTTACCTGGCTGTGAAGGGAATATTTTACCCCTGCGAGGAGACTCTCTGTATAGTCTGCTATGGTCCAATTCATATAAAATCTTTTTCATACTATGCATTGCAGATCTATGTTTGCGTTCATTCACATACTCTACTTACATTTAGCACAGTGGCTAAATGGTTAGCACTTCTGCCTGGCAGTACTAGGGTCGTTGGTTCGCATCCCAGCCATGGCACCACCTGCCTGGAGTTTGCATGTTCTCCCTGTGCCTGTGTGGGTTTCCTCCGGGTACTCCGGTTTCCTCAACACACTCCAAAGACATGCTGGTAGATTAATTGGATCCTGTCTAAATTGGCCCTAGTGTGTGTATGTATGAATGTAAGTTAGGGACCTTAGATTGTACACCCCTTGAGGGTTAGGGACTGATGTGAATGTACAATATATATATATGTATAAAACGCTGTGTAAATTGATGGTGCTATACAAGTACCTGAAATAAATAAATAAAACAATAAGTATGATCTGAACAGAATGATCAATCTACCTGGCTTTTACACTCTTGGGTCCAGGTTAATCCAGCCATTAATATACAGAACAGGAAGCCAAGCCCAATGAATGCCTGCAGAAAAAGAAATGACCCTTAATTAAAATAAAATTCAATTTCTAGTTCTGTATTTCCCAAGACACCATAAAATTGTATGGTATATACTGGTGACACCTGCTGGCCATGCTGGATAGTACAGCCAATTGTTATGGAACCAGAAAAAAAAAACAAATTAATAGTATAGTGCATTTATTTAAAAGTTATTCAATTAAATACTTAGCTGTCAGAAAAAAATCTGCTAAGCTACCATGGGACATAATTATACAGATGACTGGCTGATTCAGTAGGAGATCTGTCACATCTGTGCACTAAAGTCCTGTTTGCTGCAACTCCTCAAGAATCTGGATTTACCATTCTTCAAATAAAAATTTGGGTCTTGGAAACATCATCCTTACCAGAACTAATGGCATTGATGGCATTGGCGAATTGGCACTAATTGGCAAATGGTAGCACTTGTGGTTTTTAATGCCAAATATAAAAGGATGAACAAACTTGAGATTCATCAATAATGTCTATGGAGAGGTACCACATTACTACACACATTCACTGTGCTGCAGAAAAAGAATTTAGCCTAAAATCCTCATCTGCATATATCATTTGTCCTTTACCGTCTGCTACAGATTCATGCTAAACCTACCAAACATCTAGATGGCAAATGCTACTGAAAAGCCAGTAAATGTGCTAAAATTATGGCAAATTAATATACCTGCAATCAATTGTTCCATATAAATATGCCTTCAAAGTATATCTATAAACTAAAATCTGGGGGGGCATAGCCCACCCCAGCACCCCCTTTGATCCGGTCATAAAATGAAATGTTAAAATCCACTTTTTTTTTTTTTTGCTGCCTGTGTCTAATTTCCAAGCAGGAAGAAAACACTTTACTACTTCTCCTGGAAGCACAACAGAAAATGAGAAGAAATCCTCTAATCCTGTTTGGGTGTTAACTCAAAATGTAGAATCTTCCCTCACTTTCTATTTCAATGGTTTTTATTAATTTTTTAAACAGTATAAAACAGAGCCAATAAAACACGCCCACGCAGGGGCTATCAATTGCACAGATAAAAAAAAAACAAAGCAAAATAAAAAAAAGGGAAAAACAGTGCTCTAAAGCCAACAGGGCAAAAGGTACGCCCACGCAGGGGCTATCAATGGCACATAAGTTACAAAACATTAATGTAACTGACTATAACAACTTCCCTCACTTTCAGTCCTGGTGACACTGATTCTTGATCAGCAATTTAAAACCAACAAGCATTCTAACTCCTTGCCATTCTATCCAAAAGAAGCAAAAATATTAAAATTTTTAGATAAACTCTAACTGTATTATGAGTGCTGATTGTAGGTTGATCTCTGTATAGACAACACAGGCCGTGGCAAAGGGCGGCAGCGCTGCCAGGAGGGGCACACACCCACACTTACACATCATGCTGCTGACATTTAGTAAGACATTGATGTATATAATAAAAGGTAACAGACTGCCACCTTGTCTGCCACTATGATTGGGCTGGGTCCTCATTGTTGATGGCCTTGCACAGTATATACATTGTTGTTGGTAGAATAGTATGCTTTGTATCTACATGTTGCCCTTGTCTTAATACGTTTGATCCTAGGTGCACTGACGCAGAATGGGAAGTGTCTGTTTCAGCCTCTCCACCTTCAGGCTTTGTGTGCCTTGCAAGGCTTTGATGTCTGATGTGGTTAGTCGTATGCTAAAGCCAGACCACTGGGGTAGGAAAGGTTGCTCGGGAGACAACCCTAATGCTTATGAGCTTGTTCTATTTATTCTGAATCATATGTCCCATCACTGCAGGCTTTGTGACTGTTTTTGATAGACCTAGAGCAGCAATGGGCAAACTACGGCCCACGGGCCGTATACAGCCCGGCGGACCTTTTAATCCAGCCCGCGGATGTGGCTGTCAGGATGTGTGTAGGCGGGGCAGCGTGACGAACGTGAGGGGAGGGGAGCTAGGCTCCTCTCACAGTCCGCCCTGAAGACCGGAACGGCGCGGGAACACGGCGAGAGGAACGCGCGGAGCAAAGGTAAGTGAATTGACACAGGGGGACTTGGCTTACTACTTGGGGGGGGAATAGTACTGTGGGGGATGAAATACTATATGAGGGATGAATTAATATGGGGGATGAATTAATATGGGGAATGAATTACTATATGGGGAATGAATTACTATGGAGGATGAATTACTATATGGGGGATGAATTACTATATGGGATGAATTACTATGGGGGATGAATTACTATGGGGGATGAATTACTATGGGGGATGAATTACTATATGGGGGATGAATTACTATATGGGGGATGAATTACTATATGGGGGATGAATTACTATGGGGGATTAATTACTATATGGGATGAATTACTATATGGGGGATGAATTACTATATGGGATGAATTACTATGGGGATGAATTACTATGGGGGATGAATTACTATATGGGGGATGAATTACTATGGGGGATGAATTACTATATGGGGGATGAATTACTATATGGGGGATGAATTACTATATGGGGGATGAATTACTATATGGGGGATGAATTACTATATGGGGGATGAATTACTATGGGGGATGAATTACTATATGGGGGATTAATTACTATGCTTACTATGGGGGAATATTACTATACTTACTATGGATGACACATACACATCATTCATCTACTCTTGGTCCGGCCCCCGGGTCCAATATATGAACCCATTGTGGCCCTCAAGTCAAAAAGTTTGCCCACCCCTGACCTAGAGGATGTATACCGTAATCAGGTTGGTGCCTTGGTGGACAAAACCTGGCTTACATAATTATTTTTGTTTTTGGTGTGAATGCATTATAAATCAGTCTTCTCATTACAGTAAAATCCTGCTCCAATGCGATGATGTATTTAAAGTGGAGCTAAATCATCCTGTCTTTTACAGCCATGGAAACTTCCATCTTAGCCTCTGTTTGAACTGCAGTTGCATAGTGCTGCACATGTGATCAGCTATGAGACCAGCCAGAGGCGTAACTAGAATCTTTAGGGCCCCGATGCAAAAAACCATAAGGACCCCCCCAACCCTTACCACTTATCTCGGTGCCCTTTACTCCTGTCACAGGGCCCTTTATTACGGTCGCGCAGTGTGTGACCCTTTCACATGTTCTGCAGTGGGCCCCCTTCCTGCCACCTTGGGGCCTCCCATGGGGGCAGAATGCTACGGCCCTGTCGCAAGTGCAACCTTTACAACCGTGGTAGCTCCGCCACTGGTGTCAGTAGTTTTTTGATGTGTTATTTTTAAAATGATTTTTTTACCATTTTATTTAATTTATTTTTTGTTTACAATTGTATTTTTTATTATGTAGTACTACCCCCTTAGGAGTCGCTAGAAGGTTTGGGTCCCCCTATAGCCCTGCACAGCAAGGCATCACACATCTTCGCACAGGCTTGTATCCAGAGTCCTAAATCCGTCCTTGAGCTTTGGCTTTGTTGTTTTATTTAGGGGATTTTTAACAGGGATAGGGTTAGGGGTGTACAGAATGCCCAAGGCTACTGATGAACTGAGGACAACTTCCAGGAACTATTTACAAGCCTTTTCTGCAGCAAAGTCTCTGTTGGAGAGCTAGCCAGCATCTCCTTAATGTACCACCCCAGACCCTAGATGAACTTCTCCTCTTCACACAGCAATCTGGAGGAATCCCTAAACGGGGGATCTGGTTCCTGTCACTTTAAGAGATAAACAATCACTGGTAGGTGGCCAATCTGGTTTTCCACCAGAGTACGCCTTCCCCTATCCGTCCAGGGGGTGTAGGTATACTCACTCAGATCCTCTCCTGTACCGCTTGTGGGTTGGTGGCTGCTACCAGGCCTATCAGCTGGGCCACTCCTTCCCTGCCATACAGGTGGTCCTCTCTCTAGGGGCTGGTGAGCTCTGAGAATTCCTCCTTTCCAGCTCCAGGCCCGCAGGTAGTCCCCATCCCACTGGGCCTTCTCACAGCCTCCTGCCTTCAGATTCACATCTTCCTCACTATCTTCCACCCGAACTCTCCTGCAACTGAGCAGGGTCTAACACTTTTAAGGATGTCCTAGCCTCTTGCCAAACTCCTGTTGGGGATTGGCTAGAATCCCTCAAGAGTATAGCCAGCCACTCCTCCGATTCACCTACTGCCTCTAGGACCTTCCTCCAAAGCCCTAGAGCAGGGGGAAACTCCAGAGAAGCTGGTCTGCAGAGCCTCTCTGCCCCTGACCAGGATTTGACTTTCTGGCTATTAAACCCCGGCTGCTACTCAGCCTTCCTTACTAAACAAACGAAAACTAACTCTACAATTATTTGTTACAATTTTTTAGGAACCCCATTGGGGAATCTGGTGGGTTTTCAAGAGTCTAAACAGACCTCTGATGTTTTAACTTTGAGACAAAGAAAGGGGATTGAGGACACTGCCCTCAATCACCATCTCTGCATCCTCAGCAACACAGAATGAATGGGCAGGAATAGCTCTGTACAAAGCTTCCCCTTCATTCACAAACTGGAGCATAGTAATGAATGAACACAGTTTATTATGCTTCAGTTATGCAAGAACAGAGTCAGTGATCGGTACCCATCACTGACTCTATTAATTAAGACAAGGGAGGGTCCGGTAAATTACACATTTACTGGCCCCTTCCCTGCTCTCTATCATAACAGCATCCCCTGCAGAAGCAGTTGGCGGGAGGGGGGAACCCAGCAGCACTGCAGGAGATGGGGGGGGACCATGGGATCACAGCAGGAGGTGAATGGGAGGGGTGGTGGGGCGGCAAGCAGAGGAGCCAATCCCCTGCGACCCCTGTACGTATGCCCCTGACACCAGCCATTTGATATTTTGACAGTTTGGTTGACAGCACAATCAAATGTAACAGTTATCCTTCATGGCAAGCCTTGAATGGTAACTGTTTTGGAAAACCGTTAAACTGATGGATTTACTTCCACTTTAATAATAAATAATTGCATAAAATGTCCTGCAAGCATTGGAACTGTGAT